CACAAGTGCCCTCCAGTCTCACGAGTAATGTGGCATTAAAGTCTACAGTGTCGGATTTATGGCGACATGTGTTATCAACTAGAACATCTCAGACTTATAAAGTTGGATATCGAGCTTATACTGCATTTCTTGCTAGCAACGGGGTTGTCTGGTTAGGTAAACCCATGCCTCCGATTTCTGATGATATTTTGATTTATTTTTGTCGCACATTGTTACAAAAACTTGAGACTTTTACATACAACCATTAAATTGTACTTATGTGGAATTCGGTTTTATTATATCCAAAGTAACTGTGACCATCCGTGTGATTATACAAATGAATCGACACTCCATAGACTCAATATGGTAATGCGCGCCGTCAAACGTATACAAGGAGAGCATAATCCAAAACCACGTCTTCCTATTAATTTTCAGGTACTTGGGAGAATTTGCAAGTCTCTTAGAGCAGGTTTTTTCTCTACCTTTACTGATTGTATGTTAGAAACAGCTTGTACAGTAGCCTTTTTTGGATTTCTTAGATGTGGTGAATTTACAATTTCAAAACATTTTGATTCTACTGTAAATCTAAGTGTAACGGATGTTGAGATTCTCGATTCTTATGCTATTCTACACCTTAAAACCTCAAAGACAGATCCTTTTCGTAAAGGTGTCAGTATACAGCTTCACAAATCCGATAATACCATTTGTCCTTTCTCTGCTGTTCAAAAGTATATCGAAATCAGGAAGGGTAGAGAAGCATCTTTTTGTTTTTCAGATCCATTGTTTGTCAAAGAGAATGGTAGCGCTTTAGACAGGGACTTTTTCATCAGAAGTCTAAGACATGTACTAGATATTTGTAGGTACAACTCAAGCTTTTACTATGGTCATTCCTTTAGAATTGGTGCCAGTACATCGGCAGGATCTGTTAATATTCAAGATCATCTTATCAAAACACTTGGTCCGTGGACATCAGACAGTTATTGTCGTTATATTCGTATTTCCAAGGACACGATTCGAAAAGCACAGAAGTCTTTGACATTGTCTAATAATATCTGAGTCATATTTGATATGTGGACATTATCGAACTTGAATGTATGAATATCGTTTAGCAGAAGAAACAATGTATTTTAACTTTAAGCCTTATCTATAGTGACAATTATTTGAATTCGAATTAACCGATTTCATAGAATATTCAGCCGTTCGAAGAGTTGCAGTTTTCCCCCTGATACATGTGGACTTATATTTTACTGTAATTTACGGAACTTGCATCATTGAGTTTTTGTCGAGAAATGCGTATTTCAATTTAGAGCCTGCAGGGAACGTGAAAAGTAATACATGTGAACTTTATAGTTTTCTTAATATTCAGCCATGTGACGAGTTGCTGTTTTATTTTTCTAGATACATTCAAACTTTACAGTTATGTTATTGTGCATCATATTTTGTGTATTCAGTTTGTTTTTCTCTCTCTCTTACATTTTCACCACATGCGACTTGAAGGCTCCCTTTATACCCCCTTTTGAATTCCACCTCACTTAATATCTTACAACTTGGGGGATTACTCAGCTCATATATATATTTTTGTTCTCATATATAATCTGAGCAATGGCCATTCATTGCATTTTTTATCACTGGTCAGTCTTTTAAATGACAATTTTTTAACTCCCAAGTTCTATCATCTTACAACTCACTTTTCATTAGTAAAACTACAGTTAAAAGGACAGGTCACGTCGAATTTCCTGTCAACCACTGTTTCGCAAGCATCAATAGTTCGCGCAAACTACGCTTTACAACAGCTCAGGATTCAGGAAATTCGACGGAAAAATATTTTCAAAATTAGCTGAGATGATTTCCCAATGGTAATACTATATTATTTCAATTTTTTGTAATAAATTTTATATTTCTTTTATATTTATCAGTTTTTTCTGTTGAAATTATTCGTTTTCAGTCAGGCATTTTGTCTCTGTTATAGCACCACCAGTCACTTTATTACAAACAACATTACTTAACTTGGTACAGGTCATTAAGGTTAAATACAAGTGTATACTAGTTGTAACCTTCAGACGATAATCAATGAGTTCTTAACTATGTCACAACGTAGTTAATTTATGGTATACCTTCTTGGATAAACGTTGTGGTTATAAATGTTAAATTATTTGAATATATAGCATATAATTCGGTTTATAATTGTTTCGACAGCTGCATTTTATTGCTCGTTTGAGAAGTTCTTCTCTTAATGATCCATAACGACTTTCGGGTGTTTGTTTTTGTTTCTGTGTCTCGTCGAGAATTTATAGCTTAGCAGTCAGATAGCGGTCAGATCATAGCCGTTAAAATAAGTATTATTGAAATTAATTTGATAGATAACGCTGTCTTCTTGTTTCGATCAGTTTCGTTAGCAGATCTTGTCTAACCAAAAATATTCCCACCAGCCTGTCCCCTGTCAGCCAGCCTTCATTCTGCATATGACGGGGAGATCTCAGCTACGCAGCAATACCTCTGCACTGCCATTCATTGCATTTTTTATCACTGGTCAGTCTTTTAAATGACAATATTTATCCCCCAAGTTCTATCAACTTACAACTCACATTTCATTAGTAATACTACAGTTGATAGAACAGGTCACGTCGAATTTCCTGTCAACAACTGTTTCGCAAGCATCAATAGTTCGCATATGAGAAGCGTAAACACAATTAACGTAAACATTGTATTAACGATATAACTATTTTAGAAGGTCACATTTACAACAGACTTTTTGAAAAAGTAATTCTTGTAATAGTCTTTTGCAACCAACTTAATAAAATCTGAATGTATCAACAGAACAACAGAACAATAAGCCCAAAATAACGCACAAAGACATATCAATATATGTTGTTAACTTAGGGGCTTTCTTCCTGCGGACTGACATTTTAACTACAAATATACATTTGATATAGTTTTGGTTTGCAAGTTTGGCTGTACATGTACCTGTAGAAAACTTATTTCAAACGGAATAGCACATCCTGAATTTTACGGTGATGTTGTTAATCGAGCCCGGAAATTTAGATACGATCATGGGTAAACTTATCAATCCTTTAAATAAACTTATTCTAAAAGGTTACCAATTCAACACTGTAATTAAATCTTTGAATATTGTTTTTATTGGTATACATATTGTAAATTAAAACCATACTAAATATTACACATATGTAATTTCACGGTTCAACAATCTGTCGATACCTTTATTTTGGCATTGCACAAGGTCATGTTTTTCTCTGACTGTTAATGAGTCTTTACACTAAATTCATTGGATGTTGGATGTGTACTGATTGATATTTTAGTCTTAGATACATGATTATTTTTTATTAGTTGTTATTGGCTTTGAAATAGCTGTCAGTAACTACGAGTACTCTCAGACCTGTACTTCGTGTATTTTTGTTGTTACGGATGAGGGATGGATATATACCCTGCCACGTCCTGTCTGTGTTTTTGTTTGATGTTTTTCTTTGTATTGATCTGATGAGTTCAGCCTTTTTCAACTGATTTTTATAGTTTGTTCTTATGTTGTGCTGTTGCACCACTGTCCCAGGTTAAGGGGAGGGTTGAGCGCTCACAAACATGTGTAACCCCGCCACATTCTTTATGTGCCCGTCCGAAGCAGGAGCATGTAGTTCAGTGGTTGACGTTGGTTCATGTCTGTCATATTTGTTTTTCGTAAATTGTTTTGTTATAAATTAGGCTGTTAGTCTTCTTCTCAATTGAATTGTTTCAGATTTTTCATATCGGGGCCTTTTGTAGCCGACTATATGGTATGGGTTTTTCTCATTGTTGAAAGGCGTACGTTTACCTATAATTGCTTAAATCCACTTCATTTGAACTTTGGTGGATAGTTGTCTCATTGACAATCATATCACATTGCCGTATTTTTATATATAGACTTCAGATAGCAGTCTTATAATTTGTTTTTTTTTAAATTTCACAAAAAACTCCAATAGCCTGCTAAACTCATTGTCTACTGTTTTTATCTAATGAAAATTGTGACATTATTAGATTATAACTAAGTTTACATGATCATTGCGCTCCATGAAGCGGCGGAGATAATCAACAAATGTTTTGTTATTCGTCGCCCATGAATCTGCCATAAGGATAAATATCAAAATTCCAAAACCTACATGCGTTTTCGTCTTCAAAATAATTATCAGTAACACTCGAATAAAATCAAATTTGAAGTTGAAAAGCACTGAGGTATTAAGATACCCCTCGAACCTTAAAAGGGTGATTTCTCTGGTCAGTTTCTTTAGAGGCAGTGTGCAACCAACAGTTATGTGTACCTTGCATATATATACCGCCTGATATTTCTTTATAAGATCAAATTATCATGTGAAAGTTACACATTGTGTGTTGATTTATGGATGAATAATGAGCGTAGTTTGACCCAAATTGTATCAAGTCATTTGTTCTTTATTGTTTTTCTCTGTATTCTGTGCTTCTGATCAAATTGGTTGTACGAAACGGAAAAAAGAGCTCAAATCATGACACAATTTTTCTACGCGCTATTAACAGGACCCAAATGCAAAGACATAATTCTATGTTCAAGTTGAAGACGACCCTATCATCGGTTTTGGAGGAATTAATAGATTTAGAAAACAGTTCACCTGTATACTGCAGGCACAGATGAGATAACAGAACAAACCGACAGTTGTGGAAAAATTAACGAGAGGTCACTGCATACAGAAAAGATATCAAGGAATTAGAGTAAGACAACAATTGAATAGCAGTAAATTTCTGAAGATTTTGTTAAGATATAGGATTTTCTTTTAAAAAAATGTACACGTGTTTTATTATAAATATTAGCCGTGCAAGTATATGAAACTTTTTCAACTAAATTTGAAGTGTCATATGATTTTAATTTCATCAGCTGTACGGCAATATATATAGATTCTTACATTGGTACCGGGGTTCGGACATTAAAATTCGATAATTTAACTATCTCGATTTGATAAAATCCGATAATCATCGAGTAAGTATGTAAGAATCTGTTTCTCTAATGATTATCAAATAATGTTTTTATTTTTGATCAACGAAAATATCCTTCGACTGACTTCCACTTTCCTGATTTCCACGTCATACAAATAAAAAAATGTCAATTATCCAGAGAGCCGATAAAGGTTATGACCTCATCGACAACCTCACGTTGATTAAATTTGTTTTAAACAATGTGTCCAGAAAGGGTTAAAAAAATTAGAGAAAACGTATATAACTCATCGCAATTGTTATAACAGTAAATATATCAAAAAAATTTCTTCCCAAATCTGTAGGCATGGGACAACCAGTATTCAGCGGCCAGTTCATCATTCATTAATTTGTAAGCTATCGTCAGTAGTATGAACGTAGTAAGCCGTTCTCTATAGAAACCTGGAATACGACTTTCTCGGTTTGAAATTATAATATCCCGTATAGCTCGATCTCTTCTTGTTATTTTCCCGGTTCTATTGAAAATGACAAAGTGCAGAAATTGTGTGAATATCACAGGATGGACTCTCCAACATTGGAATCCAGTATCTATTAAGAATTCTTCTAACAGCCACGAAGAAGTTGGTGTTTGATATATTAAATCCATGCATAAGTTCTTCGTACTTTGTAAAAACGATTGACGTGTGTACCATTTTGTTCCAGCTTTAACAGCAAAATATCTCATCATCTCCATATTGTCGACAAAGGTTAGTAACTGTTTATTTTCTTTCGAACACTTTTGCAAGATTTTTTCTATGAGGTGTAGTGCAATACCATATTGTTTAATTTTGCAAAAATACATTGCTACCAGTGACCAGCCAGCTATTGCGTCTGAATTTGTACCAATTATTAAACGTGACATGATGTTTTTGTGAGATACATACCTTTCTTTGTTATTTTGTGAGTCTAAACTTAACCTTTCGGCATATATTTGATTTGCATAGCAAACTGCTAATAAATAAATCCCTTTAGGAAAGTATGATTGATTCTGTTTTAGCAGTCGACGCAAAGACTTTGATAGGATTGCACGAATTTGTTTTAGAGTAGATGATTTTAATGTTAAGCGAAAGAGCTTAAGAAATGAGAGAATTGCAATCTTCTTTTCCACAAATGTTGTGTCTGATGTAGAATACCTTCGCAGCTGATGAAAATGAAAAGTTTTAAATGCGTCACCATAGTGAGTGCTGCGTAATACAAGGGTTAAAAGGTTTTTTATTGCGTTTTCTAAAATCATTCTGGATGCATCATTTAGTATCCCATCGAACAGATTATTCTCTGGTATAAAATAATGCGGACAGAAACCATACCTTAACCAGTACATGAGACGCTTTTGAAGTTCATGAAAACATGCAAGAATATTGTTAGGATTCCACTCTTTTTGTGATTGCTCTTCGCTGAGCCAAAACAATGTCGTTTTAATGAAATATGAGCAAATAAGTTTTCCAAATGGCAAGAACGCCATCAAATCTTTCTTGATGTACTTGAAAAATACATAACACAATACTTGTGTATGATTCCACGAATGAATCAGTTCTCTCTCTGCCAATGAGAACGAAAGACGCCATTCAGCGGAATCATCTTCTGGTGATATGCACGGCCCATGAATACGGACATTTTTATCCCGATAATTGCTCATGAAATACTCTTTAAACCGCCTGTTTGATACAACGGGACCGTTAACGGATTCGACTCCCCAGACACTATTCAAATCCTCCGAAAAACGACTTCCAGGTGGAATAATCAAATGTGCAAATCCTGGATAAGAGTTTTCTGTATTACAAATTAATGAAGGTTTTGAGTCATCGACTATATAACCAACGGCATACACGACGATTTGTTCCAGGATAGTCATGATATCATAATCACAGTCTGGTATATGCACTCCCTCTGCTCGGCTACCACTACTGACATTTGTATACTGACAACTTACTTTCGTACAATCATCTAATACTGCATAAAGTAGGCGCGTTCCATCAACAGCATCGGATGATCCACAAACATGACACAAAAGCTGGTATAACAAAAATGACGAACGTTTTGTCTCTTGTGTTTTACCAGCTGCAAAATCTGTAAAAAATACAAAAATGTGAGACTTAAATAATAATGATTTCCTGAGACGAATTTAGGGGGGGGGGGGGGGGGGGGCGCAGGCCGTCAGTGATACCCCTTATGATGCTTCATATATGATAAATGCTTAAACTTTGTACAAGTATCACTCCTAACGATAGGATGCCCCTATTTTCAAAATCCTGGATCCTCACCGGGGGAACTGCATAATAAACTAATAGTTTTCTTCGTTCCTTTTTAAATTGTTTGTCTTTTTTCGAAATTTCCAATTATTAGAAGTCCATTCATATATATTCCTAAAATCATGGTTTTAAAATCTGATAGAAACTAACTATTGAATACGTTTTAAACGGAAAAAAAATTGATAGACCAAGATCACCTTCAAATTCAGTTCGTTAGTTTTACATTTATAATGTCGCAGGTAATGTAAAATATTGCTGTTTCTTTTCCATAAAAAATTCATATGTTAGGCGCTGAAATAAACGGGATTGTGAACGCTCAAGTCGATGTTTACTTTACTTTGTTTTAAAAGTTTTCTGAATTGCTTTTGTTCTGTTTCAAAAAATCAGTTTTTGGTTATACTTTAAAGCAGCTTTTCAAACAAAGTGTGGTCAAAACAGCTTTTATTCAGAAAGTGTACCACACCACCTATACAAAAATACTGTTTTTGACCAATTCACAAGAGTATTACATCGGAAAGTACAGTTTTGGCATAATTTATCCATTATTTAGCGTGCATGCCTAGTTTTCGTAAAAAAATATACAAACTGCTTTAAAATGCTAATGCCTGGGGTAATTCGGCTGCAAGTGTGACTGAGAACGTTTCTTATCGGAATAACAAACACTTTATTTGTGACTTTAACCAGATTGGGCGATTACTATCATGTCAATATGATAACGATGTGCTCTCAAAAATATGCAGACACTATGAAGCATGTTTCACTCGCCAGTTTTGTGCAAACTAAACACTCCAAACGACGTAGGTTTTAACACCCGGTTTTAGACGTACCTGTGAGAAATTTCAGCATTTGACTTGATTGTTGGCGAAGCTGTTGTGAACAAACATGCCTTTCTTCTGATAGTTTGTGTTCTAAGACAGATAACAAAGTACAATTCCACTTTTCGTCCGTCTCTTCGAATTCACCAAGGTATTGAAACATTTTTTGTTGAGTATGTTCATCCGCACAAATGGTAAATGTTGAAGAGGAATGTGGAATGGTAAACAGACCAAAACGGAAAAGCACATCACTGGCTTCGTTGATATATGCCTTGAGTGACATCTGAAAAAATAAATAAACACTTTGAATTTACTTCCATGTTTGAAAAAAAGTATAATTGTTTCTCTCTCCCGTGTGGGTTTATCTATTATGCTTTATATGCCGACCAATATTTACATAAACATTCTTTGACATAACCATTTACAAACAATCGGTATTCAACTGCGATTTATCAATTGATATGAAATTTTCGTACATGTTTATTAATTGTTTATCATTATTATAACAAATAAGACACAAACAAACAAAAGACATACCAGTCTTCAACAATAGACAGGTGTCTATACAATATGTCTTACTCTAAATCGTCTTAAAATGTTGTGAACGCATTTAGATAAAAACAAATAAAGATTCGCCTCAATATACAATGATTCAACTAACAAAAATAACATATGACTTAAGACAACTATTGACGATGTACCACCTGAATTTGTGAGTGTGTGTTTTGTACCCCACCATATTCAATTTGTGCCTGTCTCAAGCATGGAGCCTTTTATGCAGTTGATGTCTAACGTTTATTACTATAATATAAAATATGCCGTTTTTTTCTTCGTGATAACATTACCGTGAAAATTTTAATGCAAGATATCATTTTCAATCAAATTCGTGTAAGTGGAATCATACCTTATACAATAAATCTTTATATTTGGCAACTTAACTTTTGAAAACACAGAAAACACTCAGTTGACTATTTTTAACATTAACGATTTGAAGATAGATGGTTTGAAAGAAAGGACATAAGGTATAGTATATATACACTCTCAATAGTTTTATGAAATTCTAGAGAAAAAAAAAAGATGAGACCCTTTAGTTTTTTTTTTTAAATTTATTTCTGTATTGCGCGTATCTAAACATGATATACTAGTAGCTGTTTTATTTTACTTACTTTTTAATAATGAACTGTTTTCTGCGTCCAAATTATAATAAATGTGAAAGTGTGAAAACACAATCCTAGCTGTGACACAAACATACCGATATCTTTTTTTATTCATATTTAATTCATGTTTCATAGATGTTTTTTCATGTTATTGTGTTTTCGTACTCAACAATTCATTTACTTGTCAACTACAGGGAAGCAAGGCAATCGTAATAAGATCTGCCAAGGGGCAACATACGGCATTCGAGTTTGAATTGGACTGAAACGCAAAGATTAAACAGAGTTAAGAAAACCGTGATGTTTGTACGTCATATACAAGGAAGCAGAAGTCTATATTTCGTAGAAATGTCCGAAAACACTGAAATGATAACTATAAACATGTCCAATATGGGTCGGTTTCCATTTATTATCTTATCGTGTCATGCACTATTTTGACGTATTAATTTCTTCGCGATCACATTTCAGATAAAAGGGTAGATAGGTAGATATGTAGTTAACTAGAAATGCTTCTCAATTATAAAGGAAGAATTTGTTTGGATGACCTACGGAGCTCCTGAAAGTCGTTGATTTGATTCAATACGTGTCATAATTACCGATCCCTATTGAACGTCTTTCTTTGAAATATAAATGTTTATTTTGCCTTACTGTTATCTTTTAATAAATTGTTTTTTTATACTTTACGGAATAATGTCAAATTTTGATTGGTTAATACACGGGAGACATTTTACTATATCCCATGGCTCAGCGGGAGACATTTTTTTTAATGTCCTCCTCTCGCGCTGAACTGTCAAAAATAGATCATTTAGAAGGCAATGAATTGAATTGACATCAATAATTTTTAAGACTAAGCTCATTTTCGACGTTTCGCCCATTGGCATTTTTTCAACATTAAAAAATATGTCTTGCTTCACTTTTGTTACTTTTCTAATTACTTTAATGTTCTTAAAGTCATAATTTATTACTATAAAAGAAAAAATTTAAGGATAATAATGAAAGAACATTCAGTATGATAAATCAAATAACAGATAGCCGAGAGAGTGACAGAGCAGATTGTCAACCTTGGCTTCGCCTCAGTTGAAAATGTATTCTCTGTTGTTAGGAAAACATTTCCAAGTTCAATGAAATACCTTAATATCTGTTAAAAAATAAGTCTTTCGTCCGGTGTATTCATGCATGTTTATGTGTATTGCTTTATTCTTGATGCCCATGAAAGCAAAACGAAAAATTGCTACAACATATTATAAAACCATTGAAAAATATGGCTATGTCATATTCAAATGATACAGCTTTTTGTGTTTCCGTAGGTTTTATGTGTCAATAGGGTTTCAGAACCTCAAACACACTTGCACGTCAAAGATTTACCGATGACAGCGCGTCATCTCGGGACAATTTCTACCGAAGTATAAATAGGTTGTTTTTTCTTAATGTACGGTTGGAAATATTTCATTCATGTTCCGAACGATCATATGACAACAATGAGTAATATTTCCGGGATGAAGAACAGTAAATTTGGACTGCCATTAGAACAAGAGTGTTTGATAGGGATCGAAATTGTGCCTTCGAACAGGATCCATCAGTAAGTTGTTGCGAGGTGTTTCGTAATGTACAGAACGAGTTGAAACATCGGATTTAATGCCCCTATTTTGATCACACAGCACAGCCAAAATAACGCCCCTGGGTCCTATTGCCGGATAGTATATTTCTAAATAATTGTTAACACGTTCGCGGCTTCTTGTTTCAAATTTCAACGAAAGTTTAATGGAAATTAAACCAAATTTACCCGTAGAATATTTGACAGATTTCGTAGATGAAACGCATTAATCGAATTCGGAAGCGTATGCTCAATAGGAAACTTTGTTCTATTTTACATGAAGTTGACTGTTTTTAAAGATTATTACTTACTTTTGTATTTTTCTATAAACAACTTTTTATATAATGGCGTAAAATTTGTAAAGAATTAGATAGAGTTATTACGCGAATCTTGGTTAGATTAAAAGTTTAAAGTTTTTATCCTTCAAATTTTCATTGATAATCAATATAGAATACTAGTATATAAAAATAAAATTTCTCTAAGGTATAACAATTGTAGAATATGAAAAAATATAAAAATCTTTCTTAATTTCTCTTGTGAAATCTAGACACATAAGTTCTGTACATGCATGCTAAAGCATTTGATTGTTTTTTTTATTAACGATTTGATACATAATACATGATAACAAAATTGTGAAAACATGTGTCGAATCCAGTCGTCAATGGATTTTTGTTTCTGTTTTCATTTTCTAGTAAATAGACAAAGTCAAATTGTTCAGTCTTCAAGAACGAACAAAACCAATACCGTATGGTAAGCTATAAAAGGCATGAAAAATTAAGTCGACTTTTTACCTCGAAATACATTTTGTCGCGACACAAGATTTAATGAAAAAAAGAAAAATCAATTTTGGATCATATCATTTAAATGACAGAAGATAATTCAATACAAAATACTATATAGTTCGCACTTAAATTATGTGGTGTACCCGGAAGTTATTTAACATGTCATAAATATCGATTGCGTACTTATCTAACAGCTCCTGTAAGTTGATTTTCTTCTAATTTCTCTCCTATTCTTAGTTAATTGACAATACTTTTTAATAGTTTAGTATACTATTTAACATTTTTACTATTTTATATTTCTAATGTCAACTTTTTATAATAACCTCCGTTTTTTGGGTATTATATAGTACACTATCTATTTTGAACCCAAAAGAAATTTATCATATGAAGCAAGGGATTTAGGACCACCCTCCTCAAGCCCCTAGGGTGAAAAGACGGGGGAGGGGTGTTGATGTAGAGATTGATGAAAAGTTTGAGCTTGAAACCATTCATAATTTCTCAAAAAGTATAATAAGATACGTGATTACACACGTTTACACCGTTTGTTTGAGACCTTTCAATATTGGGACGTTTATTCCAAAGGTAAGAAACGTGACGTTTAAAAATAGTAAATGTAGATCCATATCTCATTATTATATCATTTATCTTTAAAAAATGAATTATATGTATATGTATATACGACACAATCAGGACATAATATATATAAATGAGCTACACTAACAGGTTTTTAGATTATCATAACACTGTAAATCATTATATATCCTTAAGATCTTCCATATATTTTCAATTCTATATAAGACACTTGAATAGTTTGTGATTTATTGATATAGTTTTCAATATCTTGTATAAATGTATTTTGAGACCTTTGTGCGTAGTTTGAAAATAGATTGATATACATTAACTAAAGTAGTGTCAGCTTGATTTCTAGTCTGTATCAGTCAGTCATGAACGTTAAATGAGTAATTTATGTAGAATTTTCAATAGAGAATAATAAATGTACTAAACATCTCAAAGAATACATTGGTTAGCTAATTGTATCGGTAAACTAAGGAATGTACTTATTCCATTGCATTTACAAATACACACACATACGCATGTGTAGAAAAAAATATATTATATTTCATTAAAGATTCCTTTATAATCATGTCTTTAAAATTTTCAGACGAAATGGAGAAAGCTTTTCTTAAGTATATCTACAGAAGGCATTGTAAGTTTGACGAACATTCAGAAGTAGTAAATGAGATAGAAAAAACCGTTCAAAGTATAGTGGAAAAAGTTTTGGCAAGAGTTGCAAAGAAGACACCTGTTCTTGAGATTTCTAAAACCGTAAGTGGTGGAAGTTTCTATGAGCAAACAAAAGTTGGAGCCCCTGATGAATTTGATTACATAGTTATCGTCAAACTTTTATCTCTACCAGGAGCAGTCAAATTGGAGGGATGATGTACACCATGGTACAAGAAAATACACATCACAAGTGATGCAGACAAGTACAAAGACTATTTGGAGTCAGAGGATAAATTAAGCATGGAACTAATGGCCAGAAAATTTTGGGGAAGCTTATTGGTTCAATGTCAAAATGAAGTCATTTCCGAAACGTTTAAATATGGGACGATAAGGACGAAAGGATGCAAATCTCGTAAACTCCTGTTAGGATACATAAAGCATGAACGACTGGAAACACTTCAAGTGAACTACGATGAAAATCAAGTTTCCGATAGCAAAGAGCTAGTTCATTTACCTCACATGGAAATTGGAGTAGATCTAATGATTGCTATTGATTATCCAAACATTGCAGACGTCATTTCGCAAGAAGGTTTTCCTTCATAATGGATTGATCTAGTGAGAAAAAAAGGATGTCAACTGGTTGCCAAAAGTTGCCAATCATTTAATCCATGCTCCATCTGTTGGCATATATCCCTAGCTACCTCTGAATCGAGTCTAATGAGGGAAATGGATGCAAAACATAAAAAATGCTATCAAGTTTTGAAATACCTTATGATAAGGGAGGTAACGTTTCCCGGAAAATGCGCAAATTTATCATCATACATGTTAAAAAATGCTTTTATGTTTCATGTTTATGGTAAAACCAATTGTCCAAAGGACGAAAATTTATGTATTTATGCAGTGTTAGATTATATAGCAAACAGTTAGTTCTCAAATGTCATGATTGCTATTTTTTCATTCAACAGTTATATATCACATGAAGAATAAACAGAATAAACTAATTATGCAGTTAGTTAATATGCAGGAACCATAATTATGAAGTAGTTGCTTATTTGGCTTCTAGACGATTAACCCAGTGGTCTACCAAGACAGTTTGATTGTATATAATATATGTAACAATGCAGGTAGTAAAAAGATGCCGAACGAACTTTATTCATTCTAATACCTTAAAGTGTAACAGTTTAAACAATAATGCCAACGCATAAATGAAGTTTTTATTCTATCAATAACAAAGTAAATTTACTAAAATGGCTTTACATTTATCCTCTATTATCATTCAAATGCTCTCCCGAATTTCGTCCAATTCCTTAAATATTCATGATACGGCGCTTCGTCAAGTTGGTTACTTATTCCTTATTCCTTATTCGTTCCCTATTCGTTACTTATTCCTTATTCGTTACCTATTCGTAACTTATTCCTTATTCCTAACCTTTTCATTATTCGTTTGTAATACGTGAAATAACCCTACTAGCGCGTATGTACTCGTTTCAGCGCTCGACTGATATCCTGTTACTTATTCGCCACTTATTCGTTCCTTATTCACTTTTTATACGTTGCATCTTTTTAATGCTTTCATTGGAGTAAGTAACATGGAATCAGTCGAGCGCTGAAACGGATACATACGCGCGAATAGGGTTATTTCACGTCTACAAACCCATTGCTAACAACAACAAAACAAAAAAAGGAAAGACATGAAAAGAAAGCATTAAAAGGTGCAACGTTTAAAAAGCGAATAAGGAACGAATAAGTAATGAATTAGTAACAGGGTATCAGTCAAGCACCAAAACCGGTACATACGCGCTTATAGGGTTATTCCACTTGTACGATCCCAGAACTAACAGCAGAGACAAGAAAATAGAAGAAAGGAAAGCATTAAAAAGAAACAACATATAAAAAGCGTATAAGGAACGAATAAGTAGCGAATAAATAACAGAGGATAGTCAAGCGCTGAACCAGGTCTATACGCGCTAATAGGTATATTTGACGTCTACAAATAAACAGAAGTATACCGGTGTTCAAATGTCATCAATCGATTGAGAGAAAACAAATCCGGGTTACAAACTAAAACCGAGGGAAACACATCAACTATAAGAGGAAAACAAAGGAACAACAGGAACACTGAAGTGCAACAAAAACAAACGCTAACATACATAGAAACGAACTAGTTGATAACCACTGCCATATTCCTGACTTGGTACAGGACATTTAAAGAAAAAATGGTGGGTTGAACCTGGTTTAATGGCTAGCCAAACCTCCCGCTTTATGACAATGTTAAAAAATATCGCTAAAATGACAACACTACGTGACAGAAATACAGCACAAACACACACAAGAACATTCATCACAGAGAAACACACAAACAAATAATATAATAGTCGACTCAACATGCAAACCGCAGAACAACAACGAACATATTCCATCAACGACAAACAGCACAGGTTATCACAAACAATGACGCGCTTACGTAACTATCATGCAATCTCGAACTTATACAATTATTTTCACAATACTCGCCCAAACAATTTTCATGACAATGATGGTATTGAAAGGCAATTTTATAATTATTTGGACTACTAACGATAAGACATAAAACATTATTCAACCGAAACCATAACAGAAACTTCAAAAATAAATACATGAATGTTGGATGTACAGAATACCGAGACACGTCGTATAGCAATGGAAATTCACACTCGGTATACCAGTCATATTCGGGAATAGGTCACGTTCGGTACTTAGCAGACAGACGACATAGATGTTAAACCACAATCTAAGACGTGGTAAAAATGTCATTAGTTAGTTTAGACACAGACACATCGTACAGATCAACCAATTCGTGATGGTATCAATACAATTTACGGAGTGTCATTTTTAATCTTTCCTCCTCATAACTCTGTTGGAGCAGTTTCTGCGTAAGGAGCACACTCCTGTATATGAAGTCAGTATAGTATGAACATGCACGAGCATAACGTATCAATTGAGATATGTAAACACCATATGACGGAGCAGAGGGTATGTTACTGCTGAGAAATGGGAAATTGATAATTTGGAAATTGAAATTATCCCGTTTGTCATTGATATTAATGTGAAGTCGTCCATCTGTGTCAATATTGAGGAAAAGATCAAGGTATGAAGCAGTCCTTCTTGTATCAGTAGTATCCTTAATTTCAAGTTCACTGGGATATATGAGATGCAAGTTCTGACTGAAATATGGGTTATTCAGTGATAGGACATCATCAATATATCTGAAAGTAAAATGAAACAATTTTTCAAGGTGCTTTTTCTTTTTGTCTTTTAGAAGGTTCTGAATGAATTCTGCTTCATACGAGTACAAAAACAAGTCGGCCAGAAGGGGTGCACAATTAGTACCCTTTTGAATACCGAATGTCTGTTGAAATATCAATCCTCCAAACTCAACAAATATATTGTCGATTAAAAAGTCCAGCATTTTGATAATATCATCTTCACTGTATTTTCTGATAGAATCAGTGTGGTTCTTCACACAATAAGAATTATTATAACCCAAAACAAGAAATTTATATCTACGATTCCCATTTTTATAGAAAAAGCTCTGTTTAATGAGATGGTGAAGTCGATCTTTCAATTGAGCATGGGGAATAGTAGTGTAAAGCGTAGAAAAATCAAAGGTCTTAATGTTGCTGCAAAATTGCAGAGATTGTGATCTGAGATTTAGCAGTAGATCTTTAGAATTTTTGAGAATCCACATCTGATTGACACCACTGGTTGAATATATCTCGTCACAATATTTTTAAAGGCCATCTTTTACTGTAGAAAGAATAGTAGTCAACACTTTGGAAAGATGTTTAGTCGAACATCTTGATGATCCAGCTAAGTATCGTTCTTTATACGGAGTTTTGTGAAGTTTTGGTATCCAGTATAATGACGGTAGATTTTCTTCGTTTTCTTTGATGTTAATACCAAATGAAAGAAGGACAGATTTGTGATTTTGTAAAATATCATCCTTTGTAAATGATGTTAAAGAATATGTAGGATTACGAGTTGTGCTGTTTATTCCAAGCTCTTTTGTGAGACATTGCAAATAATGGTTTTTACATACGAAGAACTTAGCTTGTATATCATTTAAATTATTTATGCCTGCATCTGTTGCAGCACATTTCCTTCTAATCATATGATGAAAGGCTCCAGCTCTAACCATCTGGTCAAGAGATTTGGTTGACATAGCAAATAAATCTTTTACTAATTGACAATTTTCTTCACTGGCATTGTCATTTTCTAAATGACCCAACAAAGTGCCCAAAGCTAGTTGCATATAAGAAATAGAAATAATTCCCATTCTGGAAGCTACCTGTCCAGAATAGGATAGCTTCTCAATTTGTTTCACAGGTTGAGAAAATAACTGTTTTTGCTTGTCCCAAGATTTGAATGTTTTATTAGCATGAACACGTTTTATCATAGGTTCTAGCATATCATCTAAACTTGGCACTTGTAACACCGGTAAAGATTTCTCATGTACAGGAAAACATGATCTATACCAAACATTCAGGATGTTGAGTTCTCCAAGAATAAGATAAAATCTTAACTTAAAAATAATCTAAAATTAAACCTACTGACTCATCACTATTGTCACCTGGTAAATCATCCTTAAAAATCTTAGCTAGTCTATCAACTTTATTGTTGCATGTAGTATTAGTGTTAATGTTACCTGAAGAATTTTCATCAACAGTAGAATTATTACGTACACTTGAATCTACGTATTTACTAAACCTGTCAGTTTTCTTAGAATTAATGTTTTTATCAAGTAAATGACTACTCACTGATTGAGTATCACTCTCTTCCTGATCTGAAATCAGACCCAACAGATCTCGTCTCTCTCGACGATTTACTTGTAAAGATATTTCTGAGCGTTGATCAAAATCTCTTACAATTCTTGGACTACCTAAATCTTCATTTAAGTTAGGTTCCAACTGAATTAATGGTCTACGCTCCCTCTGTACAGGGCCGTTATCCATTCTCGTAACATCGTTCTCCTGCGTGGCTGACCCACCAGTATGAGAACTATCTGCACTTTTTTTTAGCTGCCTGAAGCAAGCCAAAAAGTTTATCAAACCGCTTTTCAAAGCTTTCTTCTATGCTGAAAAGGCTTCATTTCAAGTTCCGCCGTCTTGGATGAACGTTTCTTAGACTTACTTGTTGATTTGTTGCCGGTTCTGGCCATTTTGGTATCACGAATTTGGTTACCTGTACCTCCGGTAATACCGACAGAATCACTTTTTAATTCTTCTTCGGATATTCTATTCGTCTCTTCCATATTCAAAAAGTTATATATTCATAGTCAAACGACAAATTTAATGCGGCAGTAAAACTTTTACTGACCGAAAGCGAAGTGAACGTGTTTTGTACACGCCGAAAGATAAACTGAAGCATGAACCACACGGATGATCTGGGTTAGGTAATGTTTGAATCAAGATCATCTGTGTGTTTGCGAATTATGAACGTAGTAAAGAAAGTTAATCCAAAAGTATGTTTCTGACTGGTAAGTATAAATAATTGAAATAAAATTCCATTATATTAACAACGATGTGTGAACAAGACAAACAGACATAATAGGTAAAAATGTCAAAAAAAGGGGTACAGCAGTAAACATTGTGATATAATCTTAATCACTATAAAACAAACAAATTTGTCAACGAAGAAAAACAAAAAGGCATATAGACAAAGCATATTAGCAAAAAACGAAAGACAAGAATACAAAAATTTACCATAGCACAATAACACAATGACAGGATGAACAAGTACCGAGCCACGTCAAAACGATATTACAAAAAATAAACTAAACAGTTAAAGTTATAATTTATAAAGACAAATAAAAGAATACTATAACACGTTATTAATATGATAAACAACGTCAGTACCTAGAATCTATACTTCAAGACCATCGCGTATTCTTTGTGAAGTTGATACGGAATATGTGTACTTTTTTTACTGTGAGCTATCAAGATTTGTTTCATTGTAGTCGTAT